CATTATCAGGCAGTCGTGCGACGAATTGAGGAGCTCGAAAGATAAAATGCTACACAGAAACAAAAATTACTAGAACTCAAAGCATGAATCACACACATATTTATATTCCCTGGAACAAGTCATAGACAATATCAACAGAAAAATAAATAAATAAAGTTTAGTCCAGAAAATGGACCTTACCAAAATAAATAATGAACTCAACAAATTCTATTTAACTGATTGTAATTTTAACAGATATTTTACCTTCCCTGATTCTGAGATTACACACATATAAAAAAAACTCCCGAATTATCAAACCATACGGAAATTTCCAATTCCAACGAATATGAATCGGTAAAGAATTTTAAAAGTGAGCATAAAGCCATAAAAAAGTTTAGAGCTTAGTACTACTTCAGCTTGTATAATATTATAAATAAAACATAAATAAACACATTGCTAGACTTTATTAAACGTTTCTTTTGTGTATTATTCTTTTCTTTTAAAAATGGCTAAAACACGACAAGGGGGCAATAATGAAAAAACACAACAAGTTACGGTGCAGATTCACGGGGAAAAAAAAGATAATTTATGTGGAATTTTCCCATTAGAGGAGTCACCTCATTTAAATACAGCGGGTGTAAATAATGAAAATCTTTTCGAAGTGATAGGGGGGTGCAAAAGCAACTAATGGCTGAAATTCCACCTCTCAACCCCGAGAATAATCCTGAACAAATCATTGACAAAGTAAATCAAGTCATCACATAAACAAATACACTGAAGAACAGTGAATGCGACTTACACATACGTACGATGCACTAGATACTCATATAGAACGACTCACACAAACACAAAATCAAATACGTAGAAGAGAAGCACAACGTCAGGCGGAACTCATCAGACAATCAGAAATACTCGATAATTTAAATAAACAATTCGATCAACTTCCACTAAATATAGAAAAAACAACACAATCATTTCAAAAACTTAATCAAACAGTCACGGCACAAACACAAGCCATAGTAAATTTAGAACAGAAAGATGATCGTACACACGTGGCCATCGCTCAACACAAAAAAGACGTGGAATTGCTCATAACCCAAAAATTAAATAATGTACAAGGCAGAGGAGTTTCCCAATTAAAAGTAGATTTGCCCACTTTTAGCGCAGCCGCAAGTGATCGACCTATCAAATTCCTAAAAGCTTTAAAAACTTATATTGAAATAACTTCCATAGAAACCAACACGATGTAATTAGTATTATCTTAAGCCCTTGATTGGTTTGAGCACATCAAAGAAAAAATAAATTCCATTAATGATTTTGAAACTTTATTTTTGAATGAATGTTGGAACGCAACGGTACAAGCTAAAGCTCAGCGAGTGCTCGAATGGAATGCATACGAAGCCGCAAATAATTTGAGGCGTAGTGAACACGTGTTAAATTTATATAGTTATGTGAAATGTTATCGTCACCACCTAATGAGGCAGATCATTCAACAATCTATTATCCTTCGAGAAATTAATAAAATTGATGACCTCGTAAAACTATTCGACTCCATGGATGCAGTAGGCGCGTTAAATAGCTCGATTACTATTAGAGAAAGTTCATGCATAGATTTCGGGAGACAAATAAACTCAAGCCCTACGCGGAACCATAATAACTGCCGAGCCTCAACATCACACCCACCAAATGTAAATTGGCGTGACCGTGGTAATAATACAAATAAGAACACTATAAATAATACAAATCAGAATACAAACTCAGGCCAATAAAACAAAAATAATAACAATATTTCCAATCGACCATACGTAGAAAGACCACACAGTAGCTCATACAATCAAGGGACTCAGGGAGCCCAAATTCAATTGAAGAGATCCCTAATCAAGAAAACGAATAGACGTTGTATCCCAGACCTTGAAAGATTCTCAAACCTATATTTCACGAGATACAAAAATAGGAGGAGGCATTATACAGACTACTGCATGAAAAAATCATGAAATCAAGCCTGAACAAAACAATAACATAAATACCTCACATATTACCCTGCTACCATATGTAAATTAAAATTTAAAAATAATGTCGGGAATAAACAATGCTCAAGGGGATTTACTTATCAAGGCCCAAGAATGTTTGATAGCTATTACATATATATATATACAGCTTTGGTTTCATTTGATAACCAGCTTGAGGAAAAAGTGACTGATGATAATAAGTCTGGTACTATTACAAATGCATGCAATTCCTACCCAATTTGCCATAAAAATCAAATAAAAAATTGTTTGGTAATCAATCCAGAAATACGTACAGTGTTCGAAGATTTGAGACAGATATTGCTAGAAGAACCGCACAACGAAAATCCGTTAACCAATCAAGCTTTTATATGCCCGGAAATAAATATTGAAATAAAAGGTGTCAGACTAGAGGCGTTAATAGATACAGGGAGTAAACTAACATGTATATCCGGATACATTTATGAAAAATATAACGATGCACGGAAAAACTTTCCTGCCTTTCCAGTAATTGGATTCCAAGTATGCGGCGTTATTGGTGAAAAATCACTTGAAGTTAAAAAACAATTCAGAGCAGAAGGAAATTTTTATTTGGAAATTGATTTTTTTATAATACCAAAACTTATTCGTGGTTGCATACTAGGAATTGATTTTTTAAAGAAAACTAAAGTAGAGATTCACTTAGACCAAGACGAAATTATTTTTCCTTACGAACATGATCGTGAAGTAATACAATTTAACACATGCATAAAAGAGTCAGACGCAATAGAATTTATTCAAAGCCTGGATAACGAATTAGAGCTTAGTAATTCCAATGATGAGGTTCTAGTTATAGATTCATAAATATCTGACAACGAGATATCTAAGAAATCACAAAAGCTCTAAAATGTTAATAATACGCATAAGAATCAACTTAAAAGCATAATAAAAAAATTATAGACATATTTTTTGTAAAGAACCGGGACAATTTGAATCATATACATACAAATTAAAAGTCACTAATGATGAACCCTACCTTTTATATCCTTACCCTGTCTCCACCAAACTAAAAGTAGAGGTCGATAACGAAATTAAAGGAATGCTTAATATAATAGAACATACAGATAGCGTATACGTAAACCCACTTACTATAGTTTCGAAGTCTGGCGGTTCGGTATGGATTGATTGATTGATTGATTGATAGAACTTTATTGAGGCCTTGTGGCTGTGCCATGTCTGGCCCTCCGATAAAAATACACAGAAAAAATCATAAACAGTGACAATAAGTATACATAGTGTAAAAAATAAATAAATATACGAATATCAAAAGATACAATAAATATTTATAACTAGCAGCCCCCCGTCTCGGCTTCGCCCGACTTACTAAAGAAAACACCGTAGTGTGTTGACATGTAATGAGAAACGTTTTCAGTTAGAAATTTTACACATGTTTCTGACACATCTCAGAACAAAAATTTTCTTATTAAAAACATATTGTTTNTCAATTATTTTTATAACAAATAGTTAGACTTGCCAAAGTAAAGTATTTCAGTCGTATGCGAAAAACGTAGTAATCAAACTTGCTAGTCATATGTTTGTCAAAAAGCCACGAGACACGTTTAGCTTAGAGCACACGTATATGTGTATGTATTTGCTATGTGAGTTGCTGCTAGCGACCTCTGGTGGTTTGAAACGGGTTGAGCTCTCGGAAAAACCATATTCGCTCCGTGCATGACTTATTTAAAAATCTGAAGTAGGATCTTTAAAGATTTCAGAGATTGCTGTAAGGGTACAATGAAAAGCTGATCTCTCACGTAATGGATTCTTTATTTGTCAATTTTGACGCTGCTGTTTCAATCTCGATAAATTTTCTGCGTCAGTTTCTTGACGCCTAAGTAAAATTGTTTTTATTAGATACATTTGAAGTTTTTCTTCCAATCCACCCTCTTGCGACTTTTGGCATGCGTAAAATTTTTGTGACCCGTAAAGGCTGTTTTCTGTCAACTTTGTTAAGTTCTAATATATTTGTTGGCAAGGTAGTTCGACGTCCGATGGCCCTAAAAAAGGCATTTCTTTGTAATTAGCGACTAGTGCATGGTCGAAGACAGGAAGGCAGGTTTTATTTAGCAGGTAAGTCGCCTGGATCAGAAAAGATTGTCGAAACGTCTCGGTTCTGAAACGTGGGCAAAGTAGTAATGTAGGCAGAGATCTGGTTGAATGTCTAAGTTCGTCGCTGTTTACCTTAAGGACAAATTTACTGGCTAAGTATTGTGAACGGTTGTGTGATAAGATGGAATATGCTAGAGATCCAAAGAAGTAGTCGCGTCGCCCAGCCTCAGACAGCCAACCCAAAGTTATTCGGTACGACGTCACTCGTGATTAAAGCGGTATATTTCCATAAACAAAGCGGACGCAAGCATTTAGCGCCTTGTGAAGCCGTGCATTAGAAGTAGCGTCAATGGAATGGTAGGCGATTGACATGTAGTCGAAGAGGGGAAAGATGAGACTTTCGACGAGTTTTTTCTTGAGCTCGAAACATAGGGCATGTTTGAGAAATTTGAGTAAGAACAGCGCTCTGTAAACCTGTCCAGAAACATGTCTCGAGTAACGATCCCAGTTTAATGACGGGGTAAGCCACAGGCCCAAAGTCTTGACCGCATTGACAAAGCCGATGTTAATGCCGTTTAGGTTGATATCAGGCAATCATTTCGATAGAGCGTGTAATCTTGCAGCTGTAAGACAGCGTCATTATCGAGATTAGTCAGGAATGTTTCAGTGAGGGCCAAGGCGTCGGGTTTGTCGTGGCAAAAAAATTTGAATTTCATTAAAATGAGTCTTAAGGCGATTAACGTTGATGTGACTGATTTTTAATAGATTGGCCGTATTACTGTGCTCACTTTTATAATCCTGGCGTCATTGAGCAGTTAATGGTGGTTTGGGAGATAGCTTTTTAAGGTCAGCCTTAGTAAAGATCAGTATGAGTGGGGAGTCACGTTAGATTATGAACAACAGGAAAAGCGTAGTTTAAGGTCTTACACGCCTTAACGGCCATACACCAAAGCTTATAGACCTCCGGAGGTAAGAAAGGGCTCAAGTAAATACGCTGATTGCCTCCGCAGCCGAAGATGCTCTCTGAAGTGGCCCTAGATAACTTAGGTGAGTGCTCGAGAATTTGATTTCTTATATCAACCGAGACAGCACGGGAAATGATACCCCGTGAGGCGGTGGAGGCTGAAGTTGAGTTGGTTCGTTTCTTATTGGGTACCCAAGGACGCACAGAAGTTACGTGAGGCACGAAGTCAGGGCATCCTATGAATTTGAGAATTCTCTTATTTATGTCAACTTTAGAAATTGGTACCGCAATTGGTATATTGGTGACTAGAAACTGGGCAGTCGCGACTAGCGTAGTTCGCCGGGTAAGAATTTCGAGCTTGTCATTCTGCGATTGCACTGTATTATGTACACTGATAAATGATCGATATAATAATAATAATAATTAATTTATTAAATTCAAACATTTTTGTTCTGAGAAACAATTAAATTTATCTTTGTTTCGATGAGCATCCCCTTTTATGTGCTGCTAAGCCACGACGCTTGTATTTTTCGCTACACCAATCGCAGGAGACATCTTCTCCTCCTGGGACACAGGTTTTCTGATGACGAGATAATTTTCCAACTGTTACTTTAATATTACAACGATCGCATGCAACAACCACCGGTTTCTCATCCATCCTATAAATTGTTTTTAAGTGCCTCATTAATGTAGATGTAGTTGAAAAATACTTATGGCACAAGGAGCAGATATTTTTGTCTTTATTAAAGCTTTCCTCGTTGTGCTGGCGTGCATGCAATAAAGCGAAGTATTTGTTTTTGGCGGTGTATGCGCATTGAGACTTAGGGCAGGGATAGTTTTTATCAACATGAGTTTGCAATGTTGCGTAGATTTCTGGATTACCCGGGACCCATGAAACTGCCGTACCTTGGCAAATACAGGTCACAAACTTATGCGCAGATGACTGCCAAATTGGATTCCCAACATTCACTGCCTCGCATAAGTTCACGCCAGTATTAATTACTTGGTGGTAAACGTAGTCACACAGATATATGAGACAGCCAGGGGGTTGAACGACAGTCTCATACGGCAGTCCTTGAGATGCGATGTATGCCGGAGTCAATGCAATATTTTTATGGTGCATTGGTGTGGTACACCCTGCAATCCACGCACCGCAGTTTTCACCAGAATCACGCAAGTTTTGTATGGATTTTCTCATTTTTTGACTCAATTGGTATGAGTATTGAGGGTGAATAGACGTCCACAACTTATATGCATTGGGTAACCCCCAATGCATAATATTGCATGAGTCTAAAAACCCATTCTCTATGTGCATTTCCGTAAACGAATATTTACCTGCTATGTAAAATGATGGTATGTTTACACCAGCAGATAATTCTTTGTCTCTATTTTGTTGAATAGAAATGTGAAGAGGCATCTTTCCTAGTATGGAAGGGGTCGTTGATCCTCGATGAGCCATGTTCATGCAATAAATTGGTGTTAATTGCCCTTCACCGATCGAGTTTAACACCCAATTTACTTTGGCATCAGCTTTCGCTAATGTCAAAGGCATCTCATTCGTTATCTTTTGACCCTAAAAAATAGATATTTTAATTATAATATCAATTCTTACCCTTTCTTCTCGCACTATCTTTCCCAATAATTTAATTATTTTTTTGAAATATCAGATAATTCGATTTGGTAAGTATTAGTTCTGACATGAATTATTTTTATAATAGATAGTTAGACTTGCCATAATAAAGTATTTGAGTTGTATGCGAAAAAAGTAGTAATGAAAGTTGCTAGTCATATGTTTGTCAAAAAGCCACGAGACACGTTTAGCCTAGAGCACACGTATATGTGTATGTATTTGCTATATGAGTTGCTGCTAGCGACCTCTGGTGGTTTGAAACGGGTTGAGCTCTCGGAAAAACCATATTCGCTCCGTGCATGACACGCAGCGCCGCCTTCGGTGTCAGAATCGCGGAATACCGTACCCCCGTATGATTAAATCGTAACACTGTCGCTTATAGGAGAAAGTATTATTTATTGAATAAGACGTACATACTGCAATCGCGTAAACATCAGCACCCCAAAAATGGATATGATTATCCAAACAGGCTTTAAAAGTATAAGTTGCAACATAGTTTTTAATAATGAAACGCTGAAAAAAGCTAAAAAATTAGTAGAGAGTGGGCACGTTGCCTACGTACAGAAATATGTAAATAAAGGAGTCGGTCATCTGATCACTTGCTATGTTGTGAGACAAACATCTGTCAGCTTAAATCTATACAAAGTAGTATTATCTGTAAGTACATTATTGTCTATGCTTGACAAATGTAGGTTATGGTAACATATACATAAATGTGTAATTTATTTATCAGATCAACGAAGACCGCTGTAGGTTAGGTACGAACTTTTGTCTCCTAACTGCCCTAATCCACAGCTCCTTCTGTTTTGTTTTATGGGGTCTACTTGGGAATTTATACAGCACCACCCCCTGCTTTTCTTTCTTGTTGCAATTAACAACGCAACACTGTCTCGTACGCATTTCGTTACTTTGTAAACGTAAACACTGATTCAGATTATTATACAGCTAGCGGCAGCCTATGTCGACTGCTTGGAGTTCTTGCTCTCACGTATACAACATTACAGATAAGTATGTGTGTTGTGTACTATACGACATATGATATTTAATAACCCATTATTTAAAATTTCGGGCGATTTGAAGTGCCTAGCAAAATTATTTATCCGTATTATAGACCCAGTTTGGCTAAATAACATTTTTTTTCCACCTTCGATTTCTCAACTAATTACTTTAAATGAAATAATATCTTTTCCCATGTAGGACAACGCTTACTGTACGATTCATGGGGGTACGGGTTCGCCAACTTTGCTCACCTAAAGCGCTGCAGTCGTTTTTTTTATCCCCTCCAACCTGATGCACGGAGCGAATAGTTCTGCATATAAAGTTAGTAAAATCCGTAAGAATGATGTTGCTAAAATCTTAAACTAACATGAATTGCGCTTGCGCTGCAGATGACAACGAAAATGCAACGTATTATTTTACTCGTTTTCCTACGTCATAATTACTTTTAGCAATACTATTCTTGCACATATTTCTATCAAGTACAGTTATTTGGATTTTTAATTTCTCAATCTACAATTTTTACGCATGTAACAGGTCAAAATAGTGTCAAGGTTTAAGATCCAGGAGAAAAAAGCTAATCGTACATAGAATTAAGGCTTTAGTGTTCCAAGAGCTAGCAACATTTTCACCACCATGGGTGCTTCAATCGATTTTCTTATCCCCTCTAAACGAACTCACATAGCGTATAAGCCGCATGATGACTGTACAGACAAAGTATTTGCCCAAAGATCATTATTGCTGTAATTATATTTTCAATTCATAAAAGTTTTATTTCTTTGGGGGAATAATTTTCTCCTAACTCAACTTTTTTAGCGATTTAAAAACTACTAATTTCATAAATGACCGATCGAGACCTGGCTAAGTATGCTATGTGTCAAAATCACAATGTTTAAGCCCACAAGTGAGTGATTATGAATAAAAAAAAACAAAAAATGTATAAACAGGGGCAAATGACCCAATTACTATGCATTGAAATATTTGACTGTGCATAACTGTTTATTTTTCGATGGTTTTCGATGTAAATTGAAGCAGTTTTATATTATGTTTGTTTGCAGCATCTTTTGCTATTCAAACAATAAATGTTTTTCCGTTAGGTTACTTTTTTTTTTAAATAATTGATTGTTATAAAATGGTGCGTATGGTCATAAAATCAGTACCAGTTACTGCACCCCTAACTACTGCGCTGGTATCACCCTTAAGGTTCTTATGCTGAAGCCTAGACCCAATTATTGCGCACTAATTACTGCGGATGACTACGAAGTTTTGTAGGTTAGATTCGTTTAGAGTCGCTTAGTTAAGAAATTATGAATGTAATAATGTAAAATATAATTCCAGATTGAACGTTCCTAATGTCCGAACGTGTTACAATACTTAATAGTAAATCGTAATAATCAATTATTCTTTTCGAAAGTTTGTTAATATACTGTTAGCTTAGTTTTGTAGTGGCTTATTAGCCATGAATTATCAGATTAGGGAGTAAAATGAATAGTAAATTTGTGGACTTACAGCAATTGATACACTTACCAACAAGTTGGCGGCAGATAAAAATCAATAAAATCGATTGAATCACGAAAGGTTGTCGTGGAGATTTCTGAGCGTGTGCGTACGCAATGGCGCCCCCATTCCAACTCGTAGCCTTAGGGTGCCTGTACATGGGCGTCTCGCAGTCTGGAGACTGCCAGTCAAAGCTCGTTGTGGGAAATTCAAATAAAAGTGTATTTTTCTTCAAGTACAGCTTGTGTGCACGTGCAGCGACACTCAACTGTTAGAAGTAGTCGCGAACATCTTGCTGGCCCGCATACATCAAACGTATATCGCTATACATCCTAAAAAAATTGCGTTTATTATTGCATGTTAAACATCACAAAAATGAGTGAGAACGCAAGTGTAAATTTTTCTGTACAGATACTTTTGTTGATAATCAAAACAGAAACATGACCTAATTATGAAATAAGTTTTGTAACAATTGGTATCAACAATTATTTTTCCAACTTTTTTAGTCACTGACATGCAGAGAATGCACTGAAAATCTGGATCCGAGAAGTGATTTGTGGAGACACAACTGTTTAAATGGATTCGATCCTTTAGAATACACACTGGTATCTAATAACTTGCAAGGGGGCACTTCTATCACCTAGAATTTATAATACACGCTTTACATTTATAGTTATATTCTTCTATTTATTATATTTTCTTGTAATAAAAAATCCGTCTAAGAAGGTCTGCTTGACGAATATTAACTTAAGAAAAATAAAGTATGTAATCTAGAAAAAGCCCTTTATAGACTCAAGATCAGCTTGAAGAAATGGATCGAGTGTTTTCGTGTGGCTGCACTGAAACTAGTATCACAAACGCACACCAGTGAAACTTGCCTTTACGCATGGAAAGAAAAAGTTAGCCTTTTAATCTTGATTTCATATGATGATGATATCATGATAGCAAGAAATTGGTAAGTAAACCAAAAGAAATTAAGATTGGTCTGCAGTCTGACTTTGAGATATC